GCGGCCAACCGAGTATTCACATCCAAGAATCAAAAACATCTAAGAGCTATTCGAAACTATCTTTCGATTTGGATCAAGTTCAGCAGAAAAAGTTACCTCCTCTTTTCTCATATTTCCAAACAACAAGATCAGCTTGCATATTTTACTTACCAAGCCATTGTCCAAACCACGTTTCTTCAATTGAAATCCAAACTCAAAGGTGGTTCCTTCCATGAGTTTGCGCAGGAGGGGGGGGGGAGGGGGTGATAAGAGTAATATTATTTCAAACATCGTAGAAGAAACTTCTGTTATTTCCTATTCCTCTGATCATAGGGATGTTTACTGTGATATAGTGTAAAAACGTATGGGGGGGGGGGAGGGGGGTGATAAGAGTAATATTATTCAAACATCGTAGTCAAACTTCTGTTATTCCTATTCCTTGATCATAGGGATGTTTACTGTGATATAGTGTAAAACGTATTCCTGTATTGTAGGCATTTTGTTACTGCTCTTGTATTTTAAATACTCATTAATAGCAATCTGAAAATCATTATCCCTTCCATCTGTTTGCCAATCTTTATTCACATCCATCCTCCACTTCACAACAATCCAATAGTCTCTCTCTTGAAATTCCATCTGTTTCGTAACCTCCATCTCTAGCTCACACAACCAATGAAACACCTCCCACTGCTCCACAAAAAATGACAATAATGATACTCCGACCTCACCTTCGCCATTGTTCAACTCAACTGATTGCATGTCGAATGTGCCTACCGGTGTCTCTTCCTCCATCGAGGTAAGTAATCCCATCCATGTACCTTGTGCCAATCGTCCTGTGACTCGCTCCCAACATCAAATTTTGAAATTAAAGAATCCAACTGATTACTCTGCTTTAGTGGTCTCTACAGTTTCATCTCTTGTACCTAAGACATACACTCAGGCAGCCAACATAACCATTGGCGCCAAGCTATGCAAGAAGAGGTTGATGCTCTTATTTTGAATAAGACTTGGACATTGGTTCCCCCTGATAAATCTAAGAACGTGGTCACCTGTAAATGGATATTTCATGCTAAAAAAAGGGTAAATGGTAAATTAGATTGCTATAAAGCACGACTCATTGCCAAAGGATTCTTGCAAAGACAAGGAATGGACTTTACCGCCACATTCAGTCCTGTTGTTAAGCCAGGCACCATCCTACTCATCTTAGCCATTACCACTGCTACTAGTTAGATGTCAACAATGCCTTCCTTCAAGGCACCTTGTCTGATGAAGTATTTATCCTTAATACATCTGCAAACTTAATAAAGCTATTTATGGGTTAAAACAAGCTCTGCGTGCCTAGTACTTGGAGCTCAGCAATTTCCTTATACCCATTGGCTTCACCAACTCCAAATCTGATTCATCATTATTTATTATGCATGTTTCTCAATTTGTCATTTATCTTTTAGTATATGTTGATGTCATCATTATCACTGGTTCTTCTAATGATCAAATTCAACAAGCGTATAGTGCTCTTTCTTCCAAGTTCTCTCTCAAACAGCTTGCACCATTAACATACTTTTTGGGACTCGAAGTATCTCAAACAAGTGTTGGCCTTCTTCTCTCCCAACGCAAGTACACGACTGATCTCTTTCAGAAGTTTGACATGATGGAATCCAATGGTGTTCACATCCCACTTGCTGCAATTACTCAACTCCACATAAACGATGGATCCTCTTCTACTGATGCTGCAAAATATCGTCAACTAATTGGAGCACTTCAGTATCTGGCCTTCACCCATCTAGATTTAGCTTACTCAGTTAATAAACTCTCTCAGTTTATGCATCATCCTACAGCTCTTCACCAGCAGTCGGCTAAGCGTATTTTACACTACTTAAAAGAAACATACATGTTTGCTTTTCGAATTTGTCCCAGCTCTCCACTCAATCTTGTTGCCTACTCTGACTCTGACTGGGCTGGAAATATAGATGATCGAACATCCACTTCTGCATATGTTATTTTCTTTGGAGGTGCTGCCATCAGTTGGTCATCCAAAAAGCAACATATTTTTGCCCGTTCATCCATAGAAGCAGAATACCGTGCTACTGCTGAAGTAAACTGGATCACAAACTTGCTCAAAGAGTTACACATAAAAATGCATGTTCTCCTATTGTCTATTGTGATAATCTCAGTGCAACTTATCTCACACAAAACCCCGTTTTCCATACTCATATGAGGCATGTCACTATTTTCACTTTGTTCGAGATCAAGTGCAGTCGAAAAACCTACAAGTTCGTCACGTCTAATCTAATGCGCAAGTTGCAGACTCACTCGCCAAAGTTGTTACCTCAACTGTCTTCATAGATCACAGATACAAGATAGGTATCATTGACAACACACCTATCTTGCGGGGGCATATTAAGGATATAAAATCAGATCAGTTAAAGGGAAAAGAATAAAGCATTAAAGACACAAAATCAAATCAGCTAAAGACAAGGGAATCAAGCTAATCATCCCACAGATCATGTTGTAAATAATTTTCTTTATTTTATTTCCTATTTCATTGATTAATTTCACTTGTACGCATTTTATATAAGAACTGATATTTCTAATACAAACACAACCTTTTCTAAGCATATTATACACTTATAGATTCAATCTCAATCACATCAGCTCCATGATAGACTTTTGATTCTCAGGTTATGAGCCTCAATTTTCATTTTCAGTTTTAACCGTTCAAATTGATTTTTTTTTTTTTAAATTCTCAATTTTTGTTCAATTCATGTTTTATTTTGTGTGATTAATTGATTTTAATATGTTTTTTATTTCTCTTATTCTAGCTCGATAATTTCATTTTCCTGTTTATCATTATATCTATATATATTCTATCTCTCTAAACACATACATATTTCATAATATGTGGTTTCATACATATGCCAACCGGTTTTAAATTTAGGTGTTCCCACTGTAGTCGAACACGAGAGAAAGATAATTTATATTGAAATTGATGAAATTATTCTATCGGGTAATGGAGAGTGTCAATTAGAAATTAAAAAATAGGATTATGAAATTACAAAACATAAATTTTTTTTATTTGATCAATACTTTAATTAAAGTGAACGAGTATGAGTAAATCTTCACATGCTTAATTCTTCATGATTTTCCTATCAATCCATTTTTTTAAAAGTTCAGTCACGAATTTTCAAATATGTTAGACAAAATTAGCTGTTTAAGTAGCTTTTTATGAAAAATTAAAAACTAAATATTACATGGATTAACTTTTTATGAAATATTATCTTAACATCTAAAATCTAATTCAAACACTATATTATAAAGCACTATAAAAAATAATATTATCAAAATACTAAAAGCTATTTATAAAATTGTTGCGGAACACAATTTCCGCGAATTCATGATGTTCTATAAACTGGTTTCACCAAATTACCATGAATATAAACCGGCACAAATATGATTTTATCAAAATTAATTAGTTTGGTACAAAATTATTAGTTAATAGCTAGAAGGTTATATAATATATTTGCATATATGAAATAAACAATAACCGAATTGCCAAATCTTGAATTGTATCACGTTATCTTGTCTAGTTTTAATCGGTTGACTTAATATTTTACATAATTTTGCAGCCAGTCAAAGTCAGAGTTGATCAAAGTTAACTGGATTTTCATATAGTTGGAACTAAAAAAAGAAAAAAAAAAAAAAGATTACAAATCACATGGAAACTTTGTGTATCACATGGCAAGTAGTGGATTTGGATTTCTCTTTTTTTTAAAAAAAAAAAATAAAAGTTACTTTTATAGTAATTGTCCCTTAATAATTTTAAATATAATTAAATTATATTGCTATTAAATTTTGTAACGTTTACCAAATTATTCAAACAATTCTACTATTTTTTAGGTTTTACAAATTTCTTTTATTTATTATCAAACAAAACAAAAATCATATAAAAACAAAAGAAGAAAAGATTATTACAATAATTGTTTTTATTTGGTAAGAGATTTTATATCTTAATTTGCAAATATGGAATTGTGCTTATTTCTTCATTGTTGTTAAACACATTTATGCATGTTATATGTAGCATGTTTTTAGAAAAATAGTCCGGATATGAAATGTTTAAAAATATTATTTTACTGTCTAAATCAAATAAAAAACTAATAATTACTCGAAGTTTTATATATATGTTTTGTCGATATCAATTTCTAAGTAAAAAGTCTTATACATTAGTTTTTTATTCAAAAAAGTTTAGACAATTCTTACTTTCTTTTGCTAAAAAATAACTCTTTTGATTATGATAATAAAATTTTATATTTGGTCTATAATAATAGGAGTGGAATCCTATATTTTATATATGCGATTATTTATAATTCTTGAGAGTTTGATCTTACTAATGACTTTATACTTTTCAAAAAGAAACAACAAATGAAATGAAAGTAATTTTTTTTCTTATTATCATGTTTGACCATTCAATATAAAATTACTCTCATTTTTGTCAATTTTATTTTTTTTTTTAATATTTCATTTGCTTAACATCACCCCAAAATCATGAAGAATCTTAGAGAACTATCAAGATATTCATGCAATTTGATTGTTATTGTTTATCCTTTAAGGTAATTATTTTTAAAATTTTCATATTTTTTACCTAATTATTTTGTATTATATTTTATTCAAGATACTTTATGTTCTTTGTCAATTGAATTTTTCGATTGAATTTTATTCAGAATTAATTAATTAACACATTTGGAATCCAAATGAAAGACCAGACCAAAAATCATCAATACTATAAATGAAAAAGGAATATATTTAATAGTCCTTCTAAATTTAGGTTATGCAAAATAAACTCAAATGATCAAGGTTGAGATGTATTTGAAATTTATGGATCCTCTTAATGCATTCCATTAGAGATTTAATCTGCATAATTAATTATATAATATACTATAATTAGGTAATTAACGTATTTACTGAAGGTGGCTAATTAAGATAAAAGTAAATTTAGTATATTATATATAATTATTTTTTTCTTTCTGTAATTACCTTGTCAAGAAAGTATAAGCATTGCTAATACAAGGAGATTTCCTCCACTCATCAGAATGTGATTTAAGTATTTCTCTTGCTTTTTCCTTCAAATAAATTGCACAATCAGCTTGTATTATCATACAAAGCTTTGAAACAGCTTTAACCTTCAGCATTTCTTCAAGAACCATGCTTGTTCCAGAGTACTTACATATTAATGCAAGAATCAGAATTGCTCGATCGTCGGTGACCGGAGAAACATTCAAGATTCTTTTTGCAACCACTGCAATTCCTCCTTTATGACTCAAAAATTTCTCTCTTCCATCAGCACATGAACATAAATGAAATAGTATCCCCATTATTAATTCTGTTGTTTTCCTTTCTGGCGATCTCCATTCGAGCTCGATAAGCTCGAACACTGCCCCGAATTGTACCATCATTATCCGATTTCTTCCCCATGGACAAGCATGTAATAATATACTCAAGGCTGCATTAATTCCTTGTTGAGTGATTTTACTTGCTCTTATAACTTCAACAATATTTTCGATAAATTCCGGTTTTAGCCTTTCGAGTATGCTAGAGCTTGCTTCTTCTAATAGCTTCTTTAGCACTGAAACAGCATGGGATCTAACAGTAATATGCTGATCATCAATATAATTATTGCACCCTAAAATCCATGAGAAACATTCAATTATCTGATCATTTTCTGAAACAAGAATCTTGGATTCGCTCGAAGGAATTCGAATCAATCGAAGAATACTTAAAGATTCTTGTAAACCATCAATCTTGGATTTCTTGAAATAATTTTTTAGTATAAAAAGTAACAAAGCCTTAGGCAAACCAGCTTCTACCATATACTTTCTATTCCTTTCGTTCTCCAAAGCAAGCGTTTCTATTTCTCTGATGGTTTTCATTTGCAGCGATGGGCGGTCAAGATCTGCGATGAGTTTCAAGACATGAAATTTGTTCATGCAAGATTTAGGGGTAGGGATCCTATCAATACCTTTACAAGCATTTTCTACACACCAAGCTTGGATTAATCTTCGCAAAGTGTGGTTCGGGGTTAAGTCTGAGTCTTTAGGCAAAGGTTGTTTAGTGACTGGACAGATTGCTGTGTTTTTGCTGTCACTAAATAGCCAGTGCTCTATGCTTTCTCTATCATATGTTATTCCAGTTATGGCTGTTACTGGGTCTTTCATGATTTGGAGAGATATGGGACAGATAAAATACTCCGGAACTTCTATTTCATCCATGAAAAATAGACAAATAATACAAAAAAAAAAAAAAAATCTAGTTTTTGCTGTCACTAAATAAGCCAGTGCTTCTATGCTTCTCTTATCATATGTTTTCCAGTTATGGCTGTTACTGGGTCTTTTCATGAATTTGGAAGAAGATATTGGGACAGAATAAAATTATCCGGAACTTCCTATTTCATCCATGAAAAAAATAGGACAAAAGAATACAAAAAAACAAAAAAAAATCTAGGAAAAAAAAAAAAAAAAATCTAGAATAATGATAAAAAAACTTACTGACTTATCAGTTATACGATTTCATTCAAAGTGTCCACGTTGTCGAATGATTGCTTTTATTTTGATACTACAAACGTACAAGAAGAAGAAGAAGAAGAAGAAGAAGAAGGGCTGTGAATTGCTAAAAATGGAGGGAAGAAGATGGTGATGATTATTTAATGGGGAAATGAGAAAATTTTGTTCTGAAGATTGGTAAGAGAAAGCGGCTAATTTATTGAAAAAAATAAGATTGAGAAAGAGAGTGGGGATTAGTCCTCTCTTACCGGTCATATATTCTCATGTTGGATCTCTTACCATAAATAACATTCCAAGGAGCGTTATTGGTCAAAGAAGAAATATAAATACATTAACGTTTTGTATTATTCAATATTATTTTAAATGGCATCATTTATGCATTTGAACAAACTTTATTTAGTAACCATTTTGAGAATCTCTCAAATCTGATTTACCTGACCAAGGTCCAAGAGAAAAAAAAAAAAATCAATTCTTAAAAAAAAATATATTTTATTAATAACATAATTTTAGGATTTAGGAGGTTTATTTTTTAAAAAAAATATTGGTATTGTCGGTTAAACTTTGAATTTTGATTATGTTGATTCTATTTTTAAAGGGATATCCAATAAACTCATTTATTTTTTTCTAGTATTAAGGATGATTCGAATCTGAATCAATTATCAGATCATAAATATATTTAATGAGAATAGTCTCACTTTTATTGCAGGATTAACACATTACTGAGAATTATAAATTAATTATTTCTATTTTATAAAATTTTATATTGTCAAAACATATTTTTTAATTATACTACTAACATACTTTTGGTAACCTTTAATTACATAACGTTTCTTTAATTATAAAATTATTATTTTTTGAATATTAATGGCACTAGATTCTTGTAGGACTCATAAGAAAACATTTCCTTTTTCTAATTTATGAGAAATTAAGAAATAATCTTCCATTAGTTATTTAGATGAAGAATAATTTCTTATTTGGAAATCATATTGATAGTTCCTAAACAAGAATAAGTATTTTATTTGAATAAGGTTAAATAAGATTAATTTTATACATGGAAGCTTTGTGGAGAATATCAATTGACTTTTGACTCATGCTTAAAGAATATTGGGGTATATATTATTACTTTTTCAAAATTTAATTTCTTTATTTCATCAATTCAGCTTTTATGACAATAAATTAAAAAAAATAATCACATTATATATTATATACATTTATATAAAACTACACTTGTGTGTATATATATAATATTTCAGTCAATTTTATTTTTCTTCTTAATTTTTTTAATTTTTTCGACAAAAATATCGGAGAAACTGATTTAATAGTTTCAATTCTAAATCGTACTAGAATCAACCGATTAATATAAAATTGAATTTTTCTCAAATGTAGGCAATAATTCGTTTCAATTCAAAATTGAGCAAAATTAAAATAATTAAAATTTTTAAATAGAAAATCTGAAATTCTGATTGAAAATAAATTGGACCTACCAAAACATGAGAAAAAAATATAAAAAATAAGATGAATTAACTGAAATAAAAAAAAAAGATTTCGGATTTTAACATTTGTTAATTGATTAGGAGTTATTTTTTAACAATTAAATATAAATGTCAATACAAGTATAAGGTCTCTCATAGTTTTTTCCACCTACTGATCAATTTTTAAGCAATACAATCTAATGAATACTAATTATTCTCTATTAGTGCATGATCAATATTAGCAATCAATCAATAATAATCTAATTTGAATACTAAATTTATCATCTATTAGTGCATGATCAATATTAGCAAATTTCAATCAATAATATATATATATATATATTATATATATATATATATATATATATATATATAATATATATTAAAGCCAGACAGTTTTCTTGGCGTTGCCATGTAAAATTTTTTAAAAATATATATAAAGCAGACAGTTTTTCTTTTGGCGTTGCCATGTAAAATTTTAAAAAAAAAAGTGATACGAATAGTATTTAATTGTTTGCTTTATATTTATTTAAAATAAATTGAATTTATGTTTATTTATTTATTAACTAAATTTTGTTAAATATAATTTATTAATATAACATTAAAGAATTAACAATATTTTTTAAAAGAGAATTAATAGCACATAATTTTTTATGAATTTTAATGATATGGATGGTTTTTATTTTATAGTAATTACAAGATAAATTATTTCAAAATAAATTGAAAATTATTTATTTGTTGAATTAAATTATCTTAAATATTTTTCTTAATTGTGCATAGTACATATATAAGGTTATATCATATATTATTCCTAATATGCATCATAGTTTCACCCAATTGTTTTATGGGAATGTTGTAAATATCACGTAACTTATGGACTAACACAATAAAATAGTGCCATATAAGATTATATCAGATTTACCTGCCATAAAAATTGATATTGATAATTAATAAGATATACCTAATAATGGATCCCAACAATCAAATATTGAAATTTTTTTTTTTTTTTTCATGATACCTTATAATTAGATTAGCTCGTAAAGGACCCAATAAATATAAGGGTCATTTTTTTATTTTATGAATAATTTATCACCTTCAATTTTCAGTGGTATTGGAAAAAATTAGGATTTAAAAAATTAAATTTCATTCCATCCCATTAGATATATTATTTGAGAAAACAATAAATAAATATTAGCCGTAAGTGTCATAAATGTAATATAAGTTTCCCAATTGGACATGCAATTAAAAAGAGTCTAAAGTGTAAGTTACAAGGTAGTGAGAAATGCATATACATTTGAGAATTGAGATGCAGACAAGAAATAATATTGGCAAAAAGAAAAGAGAAGAATAGGTATTTCTTCTAGAGATGCATCACAATCAAGAAATTAATTTAGGATATATGTGAGAAATCATGTCCACACAAGAACAAATTTAAAATTTCCAAAAAAGGACATAACAGTAAATGGTCATGATGGATTTATTATGTAGCCATTATCTGGTCAAAAAAGTTAAGTCAATTGGTGGGTTTACTTTAAATTGGCCCACAATCATTGGTTTGTGTTTTCGTAATGAATTTGTTTCAGTAAGTTCATATATGAAGTAGCACCTAATGTTTAGTGTTTTAGGTTTTTTTGTTTACAGAAATTTTTTTACATTCTTATCATTTATTAATTTAAAATCATTCTTTATCACTTTGTATTTTAAGTTTTTTATACAAAAGAAAAAAATGTTTGTTTATATATTTGCATTTGAACTCAAGCAAATATTAAAAATTAAAAATATTGATCCCTAAAATATTAAAAACGTTCAATTTTATTTATAAAATAGTTAACTTTTCAATTTTTGCTCTCTTAAATTTTGAAAACTTAGCTTTAGTGAAATATATATTTTTTTATGATGAGTTTAATTCTATGGCTATAAGCTTGAAAATTCAATTTTTGCTCTCTTAAATTTTAAAAATTTAGGTTCAGTGAAATCATCTTTTTTTTTTCTTTAATAATGAATTTAATTCTATAGCTATAATGAAAATTCTAAGCGTATATTTCAAAGTTAACAGCTATGATAACGGTGAAGGTTTAGCCAGGGAAATTCAACTCATGACCAATACATCCACCTTAGCCATTAGGCTGAGGCTTCATTGGCATTTGATTAATTTCAAGATCAATTTGATATAAATTATTAGTATTTATAAATATAAGAATAAGATTATATTAGGAAAAAATGCAGTAAAAATTTTAGTTTAATCATATTAATTAAATTTTTTTAATTAAGTCAAGCTTGGATTACCGGGAGTATTTGAGAAGTCGCTAATCCATTTACTTTATACGCGGATTTGGGTGAGTCAAGTCAATTTTTTCCACTTTTGGCAGGACCAAAGTAAATGCGTTAAGCCAAACTAAGTCCTGAAATGATATCTTCTCTCTCTAAATTCTCATTATTAATAATTCCTTACTCATTTAAATTTGATGTGTGGTTTGAAGTTAATTATTGATTAAATTGTTAAATAATTTCAAGTTTACAAAATAATTATAATTAACTAAGTTATCCTTTTGAAATTATTTAAAAATCATTGCATACTTAATGGGATACTAAAAGATTAAAGTAAAATTAAAAAAAATTAATTAATGTTTACTTGATTTTTTTTTTATTATGATAAATAGAGTGAGATAAAAAATTGTTTTTCTAAAGTGACACTTCAAATGTTAAGTAGAACGTATTGTAATTTGTTTTTTGAATTTTAAATTAATTATAATCTCTTAATTCGTGTAATATCTTCATAATTTTTAACATAATGGATAAAAATTATAATTTTTGTTCTTTTCCTTCAATTAAACATTCAATGGTTCCTTTTTCTTTTTCTTTTTAACTATAAAGGAGGAATTATCCTAAATTAAGAAATAACTCACAGTCACACTGCACAAGCAACATCAACATTTACAAATTCATGAACCACCTCTAAAGAATTCTAAATCTCATGAAGGTCCGAGGCAAAACGACAGATTCATTCCCCAAAGCATTTTATGATATTTCATTAAAAATAAATAAATGACCAACCCAGAATACACGTATTGGAATTTACAGGTACGAGAATAAACTCAACCAAAATAAAAAAACAAAGCCATACCAGTTTTTTAATAGAGATTGACAATTTAGGTGAAGAGGACCTCGGTCCAAGTATTTCCAGCTTTTTATCTTGTCCCTTGGGTAAGAAAAAACAACTTATTAGTAGGTTCCTCTTTGAAGTTAAGCCTAGAAATATTTTTCCTC